TGTTTTCATGCAAAAGTGCTATTCCTCACTGCGCAAATAAAGTAGTCAGAAAAGTGCAGTCCTAATTCGAATGTATCTTTATAAGGTTTATGGTATTTTATCCTAATAGTTCCTCAACAGAGCGCTCGTCCACAGCTCCGATGAGAAAAATATAAACTATCTTATTTGCAACCTTCGTCCGAACCCGTTCGATCGCATCAAGTTTCCAGGCCGAACATGTTCGGTTACGAACTGTTGGCTGACCGAACATGTTTGATTACGAACCGTTCGGCACCGAACTATTGTTGCACGCCTAATGACGATTAATTTTTTTTCGCATAGGTTTTTGTTCATCCTATCAATGTTACAGTTGTAGATCGGAGAACAATACAAATTGTCGAGATAACTTTAATTCAGCTGGTATTTCGAAAGAGGAAGCCGGTGAAAAACAGTGTTATGTAAGAGACGACAGTTCACTATAAACAGAATTTAATCGTGAGAGTGTGATTATGTTTTTTTGCTTTAGAAAGCTAAAAATCACAAGCTAAATTCGGTCGTACGTGGTTATATTGGTGATGCTGCATCGTTTGGAGACACCTGTCCAAATAAATGTGAAGACGGAAAAGTAGAGGGAATGGATGTAACTGCTTGTTGTTGTGTGGGAGATTTATGTAATCATGGCGATCATAGAAGTATCAGGAATGAATTTGTCTTTGTTATCATTGCTGTGCAAATGCCGTTGATCTACAAACTATTCTAGAGTCGTAGCGTTTATCGAAGTGAAAATAAAATACAGGACTGTTGTAAACATCTTTTTATTTTTCAATTAAAAATCAAATACAGAATTAAAAACAAAAAGGAAACATATATGCAAGATTCCGATCGTGCTATATTATATAGTCATCGTCAGGCATTTAATCGTAGGTGTGAATAATATTTCTTCAAGTCTTAAGATCATATGTTTGGAAAACTTCAATCAAAGTAATTTGTTCGGAAGAAACAATCGGAATTTGTTTTCTAAAAGATGCATCACTTAACTCCCATACAAAACCTTGTTCAATGTTTTACAACTAGACATACAAGTGAGAAAATGCTAACTAAGAAGCTATAAAATGCTTAACTTACTAACCTTATTCATAGAATTAAATATTTTTATTATAATACAGCTAATCCATGGGGAAGTTTTAGTGTAGATAAAACGGCATGTACACCCGTAAATATGAATGTGGCCGCACGTAATCATCGGAAAATGGTGTGTTGTCACACGTGAAAAATATACTGCACGTGTAAACTGTTCACGGAAACTTTTCGAGTCATAGTTAGCACGCGGTCACTAGCAAAAGTCGTAAAACGCTGTGGGGACACACGTAAAAGGAAATTCTCGCTTGTGAACACGTGTGAAATTATAGAAAGGTCACACGTGATCACGCATTTGATGTTGCAACTGTGGTTGGAGGGAAAGAAAGAGAGATATGAATTCATAATCAATACTTTAAGTAAAAAATAGACCTCGCTTTCAGCAAAAACCCATGCTAAAAGTATTGAATTAGACCTGTGGGTATTTCTGTTCAACGTGAACTCCATATTCGTCGACAGTGTCGGGTAAGACATAGTTGTTGTATTTGCCGTAAATTTTTTTAAAAGTTATGAGCATAAATAAGCGGCTAGTAGCACAATCACAGATTAACGATGAAGTGATGACGTGATAGAGAAAGGTTCTGTCTGTCTATATTTGTTTTGTATCGTGTGCTCGCAGCTGTCGTTCGATTTTACTGTTTTTTATTCTGTGCTTTCGCTTGCGTTTGTTCTATTGTCGTGTGCTCTCAGATGCGCGTGTTTTTTTCTCTGTTTGCAAGAACAACAAGCCTCTTGTTTATGTCCGGCAATTTAAGACAGTCCGTCAAAAGGCCAACCATAGCTGGCACCTGATGGGCTCTCGATTGAGTTCAAATATATCTCATTTGAAAGCCCTAACAAAATGGGGACTAACCATCTATTTAGATTTTTTGGAAACGTTTTTATGGACAGATAGATTATGACGAGTAATCAAAAACGAATAAAAACAATTCATGTTGTTTTTCTGTAGAAATAAATAGTGTGCTATATATTCGGAACTCTTATTTTTATGGTGCAATTAAGAATTAGCGCAATCGAAATATTAGACAACGCAAAATCTAGCATTTACACACGATCTTCCAAAGACCTAGATTCCTAAAGTCAAGAAATCCCCTTTGTTCCCTTTGAAACTTTTTGACTTCAGAAAAAACAATTACATAAATGAATAGAAATGTGATGTCGATATTTATTGCTGTAGAACTTCTGGCTTACATAGTGTGATAATTGCTTTCTAAATACACATGTTGTTTTTGCTGATACAACGACGTATAGCTAGAAGTACATTAGTGGATTATTTTTTCCCTTCATTTTATATCATAAGGAAATTATAAAAGATTTATTTCTGCGTTTTCATTCGGTTGTGAGTTTATTCTCTTCAAAAGGAAGAATTTGTAATGATGCGTGTAATGAAAGAGATAAGTACAATATATATTAAGCAATGAGCTATAACCATTTTCTTTGTGTTAAGTTTGTTGTTATAAAATTCTTCATTAGAAAAACTTATACATGGGCACACAACTTTTAGTACATAAACATTAAATATTCAGATAAGGATGAATATCTGAATATCAACAGACTTCAATGTCCGAATATCAAAATATCTGTACATCTGTAGATCTAAGTGTATGAATATCTGAATATCTAAACATCTGGATATCCGTATATCGAAAGTTCTGAAGCTAGAAAGAATCGTTGAAAAGAATTTTGAGATCCATATAGATATTGCCTAATTGCAGATGTTCTAAAACCAGACCGCTCTTGTTCTTTTCACAAGTTCGAAATAATTCTGGTCAAATGTAAAACAAAAGTTTTAAATACGGAAATAAGTTTCTAAGATTTGCTTCAAGTCTTGTGCAATATGATGAATATAGATTTCGTCCTCCGCAAAATAAGTCTGGCGATAGGTTCAAGTTTTCATATGGGTAATAATCGCTTGAAAAATTTCGTAAATGTTAATTGTGGATTCAAAATATTTTAATCCAAAACATTTTAGTATTTCCACGTGAAAAAAAGATTTCGAAAATTGATTATTATATTTAAAAATATTCGTATTTATGCCAGTAATAGCTAATTTGATATTGAATATTTCATAAAATACTTTAAAAGAGCTGTTTTTTCCGAGTATTTTAATATTCGATAGAGACTGGAAAATGAATAATTGAGTTACGAACATTAGGTACCAAATGAAACAAATATTTAAAAGAAAGTTCATTATTAAATCGTTGTGTTCAAGCGTCGAATTCAATCGTATCTGCATTCCAAAATACGAATTGTTGCTTGCCTCTTATAAAACCTTTCTTGAAATCAATTTTAATAAAAACTCTACGTCGTTTTAAATTATGATACTTTTTTTGAATATCTCGCAATACATTATGCATGACAGAACATTATTCTTATCTTCTATAATTCTCATAAGCATTGGTAAGTATATAATAACATGTTACTCTCATTAGAGACGACCATTTCGTTGGACCAAGTCATATGACGATTAGGCATGCAACAATCCCAAGCCAGGGCTCGCTGATCGGCACCGAACATGTTCGGTCACCAAACGGTTCGTAACCGAACATGTTCACTACCGATCAGCGAGCCCTAGCTTGAGATTATTGCATGGCTAGTCTAGATTAAAGGCAAACGGAATGAAATTTAAGTTTTTGAAGCAACTAACCGGTGAGAAAATAGGCTAATTAAAGTATAACGTGAACGAATGTGTGTTCTACCGGATGTTCGATCAGCGAATGGTTCGCTACCAAAGGTTTAAAAAACTAGTTTGTCAAGCTAAACGTGAGAGCGAAAAAATACATGAAAGAAATCTCTGTAAAACTGAAAAAAAACGGTAAAGATTACACCATACGAAGGAACAGCCACGATTATGCCGTAGCCGTAGATAGTCATGTAAAGAAGAGTTTGAGTTCGAGCAGCAATTTTAAGTTTGTTTTGGTTCAGGAAGTTGGTTGATTTAGTAGCATTTTGGACTGCTCAGAAAAAGAAAGTAATTGCATTCATTATTCTCTGCTTGAAATGTTCATACTTTTCACCATGCCTTAGGAGTTCTCGTAAAATCTGAGTACCAGTCGATTACCGGTCAAAATTTTTAGAAAAGTTACCGGCTAACCGGGCAGCCCGGTCGATCGGCCGGTCCGGTCCAATCAACAGGTTTCTACCCGGTGCCATTGACCGGTCGATACCAGTTACAGTTTTGTTGACTGTTTTCATCTCTGAATACGTGTTCTCGATAGCGGACAAGTCTTTCTGAGCAAGACCATTGATGTCCTAGTTTCAACGCTCGCCTTGGAAATGTCGAAATAGCAAATATCATTATGTCAATTGAAAATTTTGAATTTTTTATTGTAAAATAGTTCCCGTACCTGATTGTAAAGGAAAGCTTTAGATGTTTGTTTATATCAGCTATAAAAAAGTGGTAAACATAGAATGAGAAAGAAAAAAATCGGAGAACTTCCTGTACAGGAGAATGTTTTACTTGAAAGAGAAGGTTTGGTTCAAGTTAACTTCCGAATATATAAAAAGCAAGAATCAGAAGGAAAGCTATTCAATTTTTACTTTTCCTATTGTGAGATTCCAAAGAGCGACGTTAGAAGATGGTGAAAAGTATGGCAAAAGTCACTGACATCAAGACACTTGTGAGCAATCCTAAAAAAGCATGAATCAACTGAATTTGGCCAAAATTATTAGTCGCAAATCTCCAGTTTTCAGTTGTTGTCAGGGTTCTGCAACGTTCGTTAACCTCAAATTATGAACTGGAGAGGATTCGAAAATCTTTTATTTGTCTCTGGCGCCCGAATGAAAGTCCTAACACATCAGAGTCAAAAATTTGTTCTCGAACGTCCCATATGAATGATTTAGTATCAGTTGAATCAACACATATTGAATCGTTCATTTTTATCACCATCAGTTGAACGTCAAATAGCAGAAATGTTTGCTGGTGAAGGACAACAGTTGAAAATGAAACAAACAATTGATCATCGACCAATACAATTTTCATATTTATGTCAGTATTTAGTAAAACAAAAGTCAACATGTTTAAATATTCAACATTTATCAATGAGACCAGAAGAAAAAGAAGTTTTAATTCCACCATTTACGGTATTTAAGATTATTAAAAAATATGCGCGGATAAGAAAAATTTTCGGCAAAGCAATAATGCCTGTAACGAAGGCAGAAACAACATACATTTCTCAATCTTCTACACGGCTCCGATCGGGACGTGCACGAAACAAAATTCAGAGATGCCTTTGTCTTCGGGCGGATGTCATTTTGTGAGGGATAACGGCAGGCCATGGACTTGCGTGGTTCAAACGTTGTGAAAAATTTGTGGAAACTCTGAATCACTGGCACCTTTACATACAAAGTTTGCTGCTGCCCGAACGATTGTAGATGGAGCTGTCGAGTTTTGGCAGATATATAGACTAGATGTTGCTCTATGTTAGGCGTATTTTCAAACATTAGACTTGTATGAAAAGTTAGGAAGTGGCAATCTTACCTTTGGATCCGGTACACCGTGATAGACCTCATTGGTAGAATTGATTTATGCATAGGAAAATGCTATCAGGTCCTGGCTACAAGACACTGGAAACCGCAGATCTTCATCTAGTTCCCTTAAAAATTTATCAGAAAAATGACCACGGCCACTGTTCAATTGGACAGATAATATATATATATATTTTTTTTTAAACAAAGCAAGAAAATGTGGGTAAATCGGGGCCAGCGCCATTGTATGCCCATAAGAAGAAAAAAGCAGATTAATAGAAAAATCCATTGAGAGAGAGAATAGTCTACATTAAGAAAGTTGTATGTGTGTATAATAGGTGACAAAAGGAAGAGATATAACTTAGAA